CTTGGGGTGGGATAACCCTCCAACTTAGGATGAGACAGTCACGAACCCTTGGGATGAGATGCCCGACCTTAGGGTGGGTTGTTACATTCGAGACTTATGGTCTGATGTGGAGCGCATGGATGTGCCATTGCTTCAGTGGCAGCACGAGTTGAAGCTTTCGGGGTCGTACGCTAAAGGTTCTCTTCGGTTATCTGAACCGTTCGAGGGGGCGGAGGTAGACCCCTAGGGAGTCGATAACCATTGGCGAACGAAATGTTTTGGGGGCACTGTAAACCCCCAGGGAGTCGATAATCCTTGGCAAACGAAATATTTTGGGGGCAGAGATAAGCCCCCAGGGAGGCGATAACCCTTGGCGGACTAAATATTTAGGGGGAATATTAAACCCCCAGGGAGTCGATAACTCTTGGCGAAATATTTTGGGGGCACTGTAAACCCCCATGGAGTCGATAACCCTTGGCGAACGAAATATTTTGAGGGTAGAGGTAAGCCCACATCGATAACCCTTGGCGAAAGAAATGTTTAGGGGGAATAGTAAACCTCCAGGGAGTCGATAACCCTTGCTAGCGTTGAAGGGCCTCCTTGGTTGTCTGAACCGATCGAGGGGCGGGAAGAAGTGGGTCTTGTTGAGGATCTAGTAGGACATCTAAAGAATGTCTCGTGGTGGATCTCGAGCACGAGGAGGAGGAAGTGGCAAGTCAAAGCCTCCACGAAGTGTGCGGTTGTTAGCAGTGTCACACTCCCCCTGAGCAAATGTCTCAAGGCCATCATGCGCGCTACGTGATTATGTCTGCCTTCAGACGGCGCCAAAATGATGATGCTAGAGATAGATTACCTTAGATAATTGAAATAAGATGAGCTAGAAGAGCAGAGTGGATCACTGGCTCACGAGCTTGATGACCTTGAGATACCTGCGATCATAGAACACGTAAACTAAGTCGGGGTTGATCCGGCGGAAACCCCTCCGACGTTCAAATCAGATGTGCGGATAGTGAAAATAGTCCAGAGAATACAAATTATAGTATTACTCAAATAATAGAGCGTCCATTTAATAAATGAATTATGTTGTTATTTATACCTTAGATGAGATTGTTGGGCCCAAACTTTATTTGAAGGTGATTGGGCCTCGGTGATAGTGGTCTTCAATATTGGGCTCGCGGCCCCGTAGGTAAATAAATTGCAAGCCCATTGGGTTGGCCCAATTAGCCATATTAGATACTATTCTCAATGAATTGATTCAAATATTAGCAACACGCTCTTGGATTGGTAGACCGCAATATTGCCCATGCCCCATCCTTAATGGCTGCATATTAAAACTTCTTGAATTGATATCAATCTGCAAGAGACACTTATGAAGCTTCTGGTTACAGAAAAACACCACCACAAGTGCATTCACTATCTTCTGAAAGTTTTCTACACATGGGTCTCGCTCGAATTTCAAGAAGACAGCCAGCCAAGTTCAGAAACAACATATGTCTGTAATATGGACCGCGACTCGGTATTCCAGTTATGGAACAAGTTGGTTTCTCTGTTTGAGATCACAAGGCATGCCAAGACTCGTCAAACACTCATCTGCTGCATTGCATGGGAGTATGCTTTATTTCTTCTAAAGTGGAGAAGAAAGAAACTACTCCAAGTAAATTATTTTCTGATTTCTACGATGCGTTAACTTATTTCATGGATATGATCGAACAAAACAGCGATGCATCAGAGCATGTAAATTAATATGCGAAAGGCGGCTGCAGAATCAATGATAGCTTCTGCTCTGCTGGCTAATGCAGAGGCCCTCGGTTCTTTGGTTTCTAGCTCCACAATTTCCGACGAGAATCTGTCTATTAAACTGTACGCTCGTAAAGTTCTCGATCTGTGGGCTCAGAAAAACACTCGCCGTTTAAAAAAGAACTCCCCGTTTGCTATGGCTTCAAGCCAAGTAGAGAAAGTAATTGAACTATCTTTTGAGCATCTGACGGAAGTTTTTGGCTAGTGGCATGATTATTTGGACTGTCTATGCAGTTGGGTTTCGAACGGCGGAAGCTACTTTGTATCTGGTGGAGACCTTGTCAGACGAGTCTTCGATAAGGAGATTGACAATCATTACCAAGAGAAGCTGTTGATTTGTCAGATATGTTGTTTGCAGTTACAAGTTATTCCGAGTTCAAACAGTGGTGGGGCCAGGGGTATTTTGGGTAAATGGAGGACGAGGTTTTACGAAGAGTTGATAGGGTTTAGTCGGGAGTACATTGGGAAAAGGGGGAGCGTGGATTGGATTGGTGGAGTTGGGAATCACAAAGATGCTTTTTTGCCGGTGTACGCGAATTTAGTTGCGTTTTATGCACTTTCAAAGTGTGTGTTGAAAGTGGAACCCTAGAGTAGTGGGGCCATGCTGTTGTCTGAAGTTGATGCGATTGGAGAGGCGATTAAGCCGTTTCTTGGTAATCCTTTTGATCTACAATCTTTATTCGGTATTGGTTAAGTCCGCGAGAAGTGTTTCGGTAGAAACGCAGATAATTTGGGTGGAAATCGGAGGGGTAGTGAGACTGATTGGGTTGAATTCAATCCTTACTTTTTACTTAGATGAATGACATCTTGATTTATGTAACAATGTCATATAGTAGCTATTTTGCATTGGTTTTTTTATGTGCTTTTATTTATGCTAAACAGATATTAAACGATTTTACGGTTAGGTGAAGATTTACTAGCTTTTATTTATCCTGTAACCTGATATTTTTTTTTAAATATATGTCTGCAAATTAAGTTTTTATCGTTCAATGGAAGTGTTATATGTCATATATACTGGGAGCAGTTTAATTACTGCTAGAAAGAGAAAATCATTTTTCATTTTATTCGCATATAATATAAAATACATAATAAAATCAATATTGTGAATGTAATTTTCTGAAATTAAGATCATACTGGAAATCGAAATTTCACGTGTATTCCAGCTCCGATTTAGAGAAAAAAAAATTCAAAGAAATCAAAATCGACATGTATGTGTTGACGTGTGCGTGTGACAGTGCAGACCTGCAACAAAACATTAGTCGATAATTTTACCGAAACCTTGATAACTAGACCGGGAGTGCGCATGCATAGTCGACATTTGTGCAAAACTAAACACAAATTATCACTAATTGAGATCTTATAAGATAACATAGTCGATATTTGTGCAAAACTAAACACAAATTATCACTAATTGAGATCTTATAAATTCCGATTAATGCGATGATTAATTATCACTCACAGCGGTCAACCAAAAATCTGGGATCGAATTGATGACGAGACTTCTTCTATCATAGATGGGTACTTTTTTCTGGTCATATTTACGCTCCATTTCTTCTTTCTTCTTTACAAGTTTATCGGTCACCTGCATAATAGCATACGAAAATAATACTTCAGCAACGTGTAAGAAATTTTTGCACTATGAAGTTACACGGGTGTAATAAAATCTATGTTTGGTTTACATTCTGGGAGAACGAATAACAGTCCACGTGAATGCATTTACGAGACCGTTATTAGTTATAACTGCAAACACGAACAAATTCGACCAAAACCACGTAAAGTCAAATCAGATCTATTTCACTAACTGCATTAACACAGATATACAACACATACATACACGCCTATTATAAAATATTGACGTAAACATTTTTTTGTTCGATTAGTCATCTTTCTTGATATCAGTAACATGGCATTTGTTCTTTCCCAATGTTTTGTAGTTTCATTTCCAAATAACGAACAAAAGAAAGATTCTCGACAAGAAAACCCCCTTACCCCTAAAATAAACTGCCCAAGCACAATCCAGGCAGATTCTTTCTTTCTTTCTTTATTTCTTTTTTTTTTTTTTTTTGAAGCAACTAAAACACAAATCCATCATTCAAAAAACATCAATGAACATCAAAAAACCAAGAAAGAAAAATTCAGTACACAGACGACAGAACAAATCATTTATAAAGTAAAGCGAACATAGATGATCACAAAAAAAAAAAGTTCGACCACCCATAAATCAACAATCATCCAAGCCACAAAAACCAATAATGAAACATGAATTCAATCGAACACAAGCACCTACAGAATTACAAAAAAAAAAAAAAAAAAAAAAAGGACATAGAAGTTTATAAAAAGACAACCTTTTGAAGCTCATCTTGAAGTTCGCGGACCTTCTCCATGGCAACAGCCTTGAGTTGTTCAGCTTCCGCTGCCGCCGCCACCGCCAGTTTAGCTCTCTTGGCTCTGCATGACACCATTTTTTCTGAAACCTTGCGCCGACAATCTTAGAAATCCTAGTACACTGAAACCCTAGCGGGGAAAGTCTACAAACCCTAGTACAGGAGGAAGGTGCCATTTTTTTCTCGGGTATATATACCAGTGCGTGTTTGTGTGTGTTCGGATGGCAAGTGTAGAGCAGCAGGGTGTTCAGAATGGCGACTGTTTGTGTGGACAGAGTGTCAGGAATACAACGTTTGTAGCCAATGAGAGGGCAGCGTTCACGCAATTCCACGTCCACTGTCTGACATATGGCTGGTGGAGGCGCCGTTGGGGGTTGGTAGTATCGGCGGAGTGCGCATGCATAGTCACCGGGAGTGCGCATGCATAGTCGATATTTGTACAAAACTAAACACAAATTATCAGTAATTGAGATCTTATAAGATCACATAGTCGATATTTGTGCAAAACTAAACACAAATTATCAGTAATTGAGATCTTATAAGATCACATAGTCGATATTTGTGCAAAACTAAACACAAATTATCATTAATTGAGATCTTATAAGATCACATAGTCGATATTTGTGCAAAACTAAACACAAATTATCAGTAATTGAGATCTTATAAGATCACATAGTCGATATTTGTGGAAAACTAAACACAAATTATCATTAACTGAGATCTTATAAGATCACATAGTCGATATTTGTGGAAAACTAAACACAAATTATCACTAATTGAGATCTTATAAGATCACAAGTAAGAGTAATGCAACACCAAGAAATAATGAGCAGCAGGCTAAGATAAAACATGAAATATAAAACAATGCCAATAGCAGACAGTAAAACAGAAAGATTCAAACGAAATAGGTTTAAGAAGTCTTAAAGTTACTCTTTGTTCGATTTAAAAACATAATCCTAAAGGGTATCCAAAGAAACTCAGTCATCATCTTCGTCATCCCCCTTTACGCTTCATCTTCCTAAATAACGAGATAACAAGGTAGTTAGAAAAACCAATAATAAAATCATATTAGAGAGAGAGATAGAAATAAAAGAGAAATAGTGCAAGCGTTACATGGTTAAGATGTTCAATGGGATTAACCCATAAGTCCCCCTTGATCAGATCACCAACCTGCAGTTAAGAAAGTCGACAAAAATAAATCATCGGTCAACCAAAAATAAAAAGTGGATATAGTAACATCAAACTAGCTAAATATTGCAATTTGTAATAAATTCCGTTCTTTTACTGCCTCATCAAACAATATCTTAAAAACACGATAACAACGTTAACGTGACAAGAATTTTGTTTACCAAATCCTGATCAAACCCCATTGTGTCCTCCGCTGCATAACCAAACCATTTAAAAAAGCTGCATTCAAAAAAAAAGAAAAGAAAAAAGAAAAAACTCAATAGATTTTCCAAATAATCTCGATTTATAAAGATTATTCAAAGACAGGGGTGGAAAAAAAGAAATACCTCGTGATAAATGGTAACAGACGCTTGTCTCTTTCTTCCACCGGGATAGCAGAGATAGCAGGAGGAGCCTGGACACGTGACAATCACATTGATTTTAAATAATAATAATAAAAATAAACATGTAATTATTTTTAAATAGAATATATCCATTATTATTACTACCTTGCCCTCCTTCCATCTTATAGTCGTACACGTTGTCTCCAGATCTTCATCCGTGTAGTCAACGGTCTTGCTTAATGTTTCGTTTTCAAAATACGGGTTGATCTTGAAGTTCTGCAAACTCACAAAGATGACGAAAATATCACTCTCCAAATGACGAAGTGGGAAAACATAAATGTTTTGTCACGTAAAAAAAGAACAAATAAGACTTACGAACGTAATGCAATACCCTTTTTGCGGGTATTTTAGATCCTCCACGTGAATACTATCCAAGTAACGAAATATCTAGATAAATCAAAAGTAAAAGTAAACGAGATTTGTTTTTCAACCGGGCAACATTAATATTTAACGGGGATTATTTTGTGTCAAACCTGCTGGTCTTCCTGAGTGAGCAGCGTTCCGAGTGTAGGATGCTTCAAGAACTGCAATAAACATAGATACCAAATACAAGATTATCATTTATTCAGCTCGATTATGAATTAAGTATCACTTTTAAATTCCGATTAACGCGATGATTAATCATCACTCACAGCGGTCAGCCAAAAGTCTGGGATCGAATTGATGACGAGACTTCTTCTATCATAGATGGGTACTTTTTTCTGGTCATATTTACGCTCCAGTTCTTCTGTCTTCTTTACAAGTTTATCAGTCACCTGCACAATAGCAATCTTCAGCAACGCACTTGGACTTATATTGTTTCTTATTACAATCGATCATCGAATAAATTTTTTGCACACGAAGTTACACACGTGTAAGAAATCTATGTTTGTTTTACATTCTGGGAAAACGAATAACAGTCCACGTGAATGCATTTACGAGACCGTTATTAGTTATAACTGAAAACACGACACTACTTTGCCCCACGTGGCAAGCCAAATTATCCATTTGAGAGATCTCTTTGACATATTCTCCCAACGATCAAATTTCCAAAATAAGAGAAACGAACAAATTCGACCAAAACCACGTAAAGTCAAATCAGATCTATTTCACTAACTGCATTGAAACAGATATACAACACATACATACATGCCTATTCCATCATAATGACGTAAACATTTTTTTGTTCGATTAGTCATCTTTCTTGATATCAGTAACATGGCATTTGTTCTTTCCCAATGTTTTGTAGGTTTATTTCCAAGTAACAAGCAAAAGGAAGATTCTCGACAAGAAAACCCACTTAGCCCTAAAATAAACTGCCCTAGCACAATCCAGGCAGATCTTTCTTTCCTTCTTTCTTTCTTTTTTTTTTTTTTTTTTTTTTGAAGCAACTAAAACACAAATCTATCATTCAAAAAACATCAATGAACATAAAAAGACCAAGGAAGAAAAATTCAGTACACAGATGACAGAACAAATCATTTATAATGTAAAGCAAACATAGATGATCACAAAAAAAAAAAAAAGAAAAAAAATCGACCACCGATAATCAACAATCATCAAAACCACAAAACCAATAATGAAACATGAATTCAATCGAACACAAGCACCTAAAGAATTACAAAAAAGGGCAGAGAAGTTTATAAAAGGACAACCTTTTGAACCTCATCTTGGAGTTCCCGGACCTTCTCCATTGCAACAGCCTTGCGTTGTTCAGCTTCCGCCGCCGCCGCCGCCTCCGCCTCCGCAGCCATTTTAGCTCTCTTGGCTCTGCATGACACCATTTTTTCTGAAACCTTGCGCCGACAATCTTAGAAATCCTAGTAAACTGAAACCCTAGCGGCGACAGTCTACAAACCCTAGTACAGGAGGAAGGTGCCATTTTTTTCTAGGGTATATATACCAGTGCGTGTTTGTGTGTGTTCTGATGGCAAGTGTAGAGCAGCAGGGTGTTCAGAATGGCGACTGTTTGTGTGGACAGAGTGTCAGGAGTACAACGTTTGAAGCCAATGAGAGAGCAGCGTTCACGCAATTCCACGTCCACTGTCTGACATGTGGCCGGTGGAGGCGCCGTTGGGGGTTTTGGTAGTATCGGCGGAGTTCAATCGGGAAATTCAACGGAGGCGCGTGAATTTTGGCGGTTATTTGATACGGATCTCTCCTTTTTCCGTAATTGAGATCTTATAAGATCACATAGTCGATATTTGTGCAAAACTAAACACAAATTATCAGTAATTGAGATCTTATCAGATCACATAGTCGATATTTGTGCAAAACTAAACACAAATTATCATTAATTGAGATCTTATAAGATCACATAGTCGATATTTGTGCAAAACTAAACACAAATTATCACTAATTGAGATCTTATAAGATCACAAAATTATCACTAATTGAGATCTTATAAGATCACAAGTAAGAGAAATGCAACACCAAGAAATAATGAGCAGCAGGCTAAGATAAAACATGAAATATAAAACAATGCCAATAGCAGACAGTAAAACAGAAAGACGAAATAGGTTTAAGAAGTCTTAAAGTCTTAAAAATATTATAATTGAAAATTAATTTTGTAGAGGCCATTTAATAAAGACTAAGGTGGTGTTTGCAAATGCTTTTTGAAAGTGATTACGCGGTTTTTTTTTCCTCATAATCTGTTTTTAGGTGTTTGCAAAATCAACTTTTGCTTTTGCTTCTCTCAAAATAATCTGCTTTAAGCTATTTTTTTAAAAGCACCCCTAACCCTGCTTTTTCAATTTTAGTTCATTTTCCGAAATATTTGCAAACACCCCCAACTTTTAGAAATAAGCACTTAAAACTAACTTAAATCACAATCACTAACTTCTGCTTTTAAATAATCATTTGCAAACACCACACCTAAAGGGATTTTTATGAATTTAAATTTTTAAAAAATAATAACTTTTGGATGTCTAAGACGTTAATTAAATTTAAAATAATAACTTTCTCAAATGTGTTATGGTACATTAATTTTTAGGGGTTAATAAGATATAACCCCCTCATTAGGAAAAATATTAGGACTAACCACCTTACATTATTTTTAATGGGTCAAACCCCCTCACAATTAGCAATTACTGAACTACCCCCATAATTTCTAATAGCAATGACCCCCCCCCACTATTTTTCCCAAAGCTGCATATCTTCATCCGTTTCATCAAAATAATTTCTCTTCAATTTCCGCTACGGTGCTATATTTGTGCCAAGAAAATCGCCAAAAAAAATCTGCAAATATATCGGATCATTTCCCAGACGCAACAATGCCCTAGTTTGCTACATTTCTTTAAAAAAAAACAACAAATAACATTTGTGTGAGAATCGTTGAGAAATACATGTCACCAACAATGGTGGAAGGTAGCAAGAAGAAGACAGATAGTTTCCTATACACTCGTCGCTCCCCTCGACGTCTATTAACCTAATTTATGTACATTTACCACATAATTTATGTTTTTGACACCCTCTTCAGCGACTCCGAAGGACAAAATCGAGGTCTCCTACATAAACGGTATACAACGGTACGCGACGACCATATGCGACAGTTCGGAATTCTTCCATGGTTGATTACTCGAAAATGGAGTTTGTAAACACGATTGTTTTTTAGATCTACAGATCTATGGTCACACTATTTGTTGACTCATAACTATTTGTTTCCTATGAAATTTGTTTTATCAGAGTCCAAAACAAAGAAAATATCAGTGTTGTCGAAAACATAAAATATTATAGTCATCTACACTCATAGTCAACTATAAAATCGGTAGTTCACTATATTTTTCTCAAAGTCAACTATAAAAATTAGATAGTCAACTATAATTTTTACGATGTCAACTATAAAAAAATGGTTGTTAACTATATTTTTGCCAAAGTCAACTACAAAAATTAGATAGTCAACTATAATTGTTCAAATGTCAACTATAAAAAAATTTGTAGTCAACTATAATTTTTCCATTAATTTACCATATTATTTTTCAATTTAAGATACTATGGTGTTATTAAATTGAATACTCATGATAAAAATCTCATCTTCATGAAAACATGAATTTCATATCTTTAAAGATCCTTTGATTTCAACGACCAAATAATG